TCCATCCTTCCTTCCTTCCATCCTTCCATCCATCCATCCATCCATCCATCCTTCCTTCCTTCCTTTTTTCCTTAGTAGCAGTGATTTGCTTTCTCCTCCATACATTTTTTCGTTTCCTCTTTGATAATCATATGACGTTTGAACCTCTTAAGCTGCTGTCTGTCATCAATACAGAAATTGAACCTCATTTACTTTCTTCCTTCTTTCCTTCCCTCCTTCCTTAGTAGCGGTGATTGATTTGCTTTCTCCTCCATACATTTTCTCCTTTCCTCTTTGATAATCATATGATGTTTGAACCTCTTAAGCTGCTGTCCGTCATCAATACAGAAACTGAACCTCATTTCCTTACGCGCAGGTATCTGGGGCAGCGCATTTACTATTTTACTACAACAAGTGGTTCGCGAGGGGCTCAAGGAACCCGAGGAAGTCATAATGGCTGCAGAAAACAAAGGGAATTTGCGCAAACAAATGGGTAGGCTAGACATTTTACTCTAGTACTAGTAATTCAGTGACGCTTTAGTTTGTTTAACAGGGGCCTTGTTCCGTGTTTTTTTGTTTTGTTTTGTTTTGTTTTTTGTTGTTTTTTTGTTGTTGTTTGTTTGTTTTGTTTTGTTTTGTTTTGTTTCGTTTTTTTTTTTACTTCCAAAAAAATACACCTGATAAAATGAAAATTAAACTGGTTTTTTTTCAAATTTCCAGAGGATATGGTAGCTTCGGACGCGATTGGCCACGCCAACAAAGCAAACGGCGAAGAGAGTGATGAAGAATCCAACGACGAACCAAAAGAATCTCCGAATAAAGCAGAGAAGGACAAGGAAGACGCGCCTGAACAAAACGGCGAAGAGCATAAAAGTGACGCCGATAAATTTGCTGATATTGTGGACAAAGTCATCAACAAGTTCGAAATTTTTCGCACAAGGCAAGGTAGAGCAGGACTTGTTCATAACTTCTTGCGCGGGATTGATCTCAAGCTGTCTGGTAAGTATAGTAAACCACATGTTTGATTGTTGTTGAAAAATGTTGACGCGCGCAATTCTCACTTGAGACCTGTCTAGTATTTTAGTGCGGTTTTCGAATGAGTGGTGAACTATCCGACGGCAGATTCGTAGCTGTATGCTTCTCCTTTCCTTAGCGTCATATCTTCACCTCGGAAAGCCGTCGTATTCGGAAGTGCACTATTTGAATTCGAGTTTGAAACGGAAAAATAGGAAGCAAGACTTAAAGCAAATCTAATCGTTCGCTTTATGCCTCCCACTCACACGAAAACCATTCAGTGTTTTGGTAACCCATTTCAATGCTACAACATGTCACATCGTGTACGTGCTGTCCGTATCGTCTTTCCCACTCATACGAGATGGATTGTGCCTTACAATACACTCAAGATGTCATAAACAAATTACTTATATATTTTTTTACATTTCTCAAGATGACCGCACTGATAACCCAGATAAGCTGGAGCTAGTCACAGAAGATAAGCGTATATTCCTGGTGGATAGTGGAATGGTACTCAACTCACCATATCCGATCCTACTGAGGCCTGAGAGGAGCGTGGACTTGTACCTGTCCTTCGACTTCAGTGCTCGTGACAAAGATGATGAAGAACCATTCAAGGTACGAAGCAAATGGGAAAGATGTGTTTGCGCGCATGCTATTGAAAGCGCTGTATAATAAATTTTCCTTATTCTGTAGGAACTTCTTCTGGCCGAAGAGTGGGCTAAGAAGAACAACTACCCCTTTCCCCCGATCAATGCAGCAGAGCAGATCGAGAAGGAAGGCCTTAAAGAGTGTTACATATTTCGACACCCGACTGATAAATCTTGTCCTATCGTCATTCACTTTGCGCTTATCAACAAGGCCTTCATGGAATACAGCAAACCAGGTGAGAAATGAAAAACAATGAAGTATATATGTTCTTTAAGTTGTGACGTATTTCTGGGTCCAACTCTAACAAAAACCGCTAAAATAAAGTGAAAAATTTCTCGAAAAATTTAACCTCTACCTGAAAGGAGTAGAACTTTGGACGAAAAATGATACGCGTCGAAACGAGAAAAGCGTATATTACTCTTTGTTTCTTTTAGGTGTTCCAAGAACTGAAGAGGAAAAATTAGCCGCTAAGTTCTCCATCTTCGAAGACCCCAAGAAGCACTACAGCACTTTTAATTTTCATTACCCGAACGACGCTTTCGACAGGTTGTCACAATTGACAGAATTCAACACTTTAATCTGTGAACAGACGATAAAGGATGTGATGGCCGAATGTGTGCAGAGGAAAAAGCCAGCAGCAGTGGCTAAAAACGTAACCCCCGCGAAACCAAAGAAAGAAAAGAAAGACAAGTGTATTTTATCCTAGAGCACGGCACTTCGCGAGACACTTAGTAAAAATTTTAATCAAAGCAAAGGAAAATGCCGAGGAGATAATGCTAACTGCGCGCAAAGTATGCTGTTATGCAGAAGAGAAAACTAGATCCTAGCGGACCTAGAACCTGAATAAGATGCGTAATCTAAAGAGGTTTATACTACAATAGAACCCTTGCATGTGACGTCGAAGCAGCTAGATCTGGGGGACAAAACAAAAGAATTCCAATCTACTGAGAATTGGAACCTTTTGTTTTGTCCCCTAAATTGAGCTGCATTCCGAGGTGCTGTAAGGGGTATACAGACTTTTCCTGAATTCGCATGACAATGGATTTAAGTCGAGGCTTGACTTGATTCTTTCGTTCATCAAGTCCAGCCTCAACTTGAAAGCATTGTTTCATGACCTTGCTTACAAATGAATTTAATTAATATTAATTGCTGGTCAAGGGAATTCAGGAAAGGTGTGTTGAGTCAACCTTCATGGGAAATTCATCTCAAATGATGACTTTTGAGAATTTTCCCAAACACTTCAATTAGAATTAAATGAATTTTGAATTTAAAAATACTGAATATGTTTGAACAAAATCAAAGTTATTTTGATTAAGATGTTTGAAAATGTCAAAGAAAAATATCCATATAATTCCATTCAAAATACTTAAATTATCTCTAAATAGTAAATTTAAATTACTAACTTATCAATGCAAATAGATTTAAATAAAGAATACAATAATAATTTCAAGGAAATATCCTTATCATTGGTAATTTTAATTTTTCAATGTTCGTTATTAATTTTCACACACACGCTAAATAAAGTAGATGAATGAGTGCAGTAATCAAATAGTGTGCTCTGATTGGCTGATTCATATCTACTAAATCCTCTTATTCCATCGGCATTGTTTACAGCCATGAATAGATCCAATAATGAATTCTTTGAATCTCAGAGTTTCTTAGACACTGGACTGAATAATTTTTACTTAGGTAGAGCCAAATTCTTCCATCCATTCTAAGTATTTCTTGATGTCGGCATCAGAAACAGATTTGGAGACTTTCTTAAGTGCCATGTCAAAGTCCTCCATGTTGACGGGAAGGTCTAGCTCTTCTTTGGGTAGGTTACGGATTTGTTCTGGGGTGAGACCCTTGATACGGCGACGCATTGCCATCATTGATGCATCCCTAGAAATACGTAAGAAGGGAAAACACAGGATCAGTGGATTTATGGATGGGATGGATGGATGGATGGATTGATGGATGGATAGGTGGGTGGGTGGGTGGATGGATGGATGGGTAAATGGTTGAATGACTGGAGGGATGGATGGGTAAATGGTTGAATGACTGGAGGGATGGATGGATAAGAGGGTAGATGCATAGATAGATGGAAGGGTGGATGAGTGAATGGATGAATGAATGGGTGAGCGAATGGACCAAAATATATACCAAACACATGATAGATACCCACCTGCAAACGTTAGTGATATCAGCACCACTATATCCATCCATCTTATTTGCCACTTCCTGCAGTAACACATCTTCTGAAATTTGTACACCACGTAGGTTGATCTTGAGTAGCTCAAGCCGTCCTTCCGCTACAAGAAAAACAAATGATTTTGAAGTGAGAAAAAATACTAGATGAAAGATTGGGAGTGGCGAGGTAGAAAGGAAGAGGCAGAAAGAGTAGAAGAAAAAAAGGGAGGTTGAGGAGATGAAAGTAGAAGGGGATGAATAAGAAATGATACGAAAAGGAAAGCTAAATGGGAAGATGAAAGAATGCAAGAAAATAGGAAGAAAAAGTTGGAGGAATGAAGATTGGTTGACAAAAATAAAAGATAAGAAAAGAAAAAATAAATACAAACAAAACAAAGAGGAAGAAAAAAAAGAAAAAGTAAACAAAGAAAACGACTAGAAAGTTGGAGAAGAGCTAAGCTTACTTGTAGGAAGAGGGATGTAGATTCTTTTTTCAAGTCGACGGCGCAGGGCTTCATCAATATCCCAAGGAAAATTAGTAGCTGCAAGAACCATGACAAGTTTAGAGTCTTGATCGTCTGATGCACCACCAACACCTAGAGGGAGAAATATTGAAATTAGAATGAGTGTACCATAAAAAATACCTAGTAGTACTTTTAGTCTTCTCTATCATTCTAAAGCCCTGTTTACACTAGCGATTTTTGAGGCGATTTTTGCTGCAATTTTTTTGCAATTTTGTCCATAATAAATAATGGTAAAGAATTTACTTGTAAAGTTTTTTTCAGGATGCCAAGATATTCCTAGACGAATGTCTCTTTTGAAGGATAAGACAAAAGATTTCATATTTCTGAAAATTGCCACAAAAATCGCAGCAAAAATC